GTACTATCTATTTATTCTTTGAACGTCACACGATTGATTGTGTCGAATATGGAGGGTGGTATCGTATGAAGAGTGCAATATAATAAACAGCTAAGATTTTTTGTAGTAAAAAGATAACTCTGAATTTATGAGGACGATGATTGCGGAAAGAAACTGTGTTCTTGATCAAAATTGTGAGCTAGTGATAGAGATATTGTGAGAAAGCAGAATTAAAACAATTCGGTTCTTTTAAGGTAGTTAAATGAAACACAAAAGTTGTGCAATGTAGACGACTAAAAGTAAAACCTGGAGTATACATTTGTAATAGCATAATTTCGTTGAGTAATTTAATACAAAGGTTAACATCATAATACAGATTTTTACAGATGTGTTGAACTTTTAAATATTAGAAAACGAAAATATCATAATCAACAGTTCGTATGCTGGTTCATGGGGCTAACTGGTAAACTGGGTAAAAAAACTAAGTTAAACAATTATAATGGTATGCTGTTAGACAGTGTAAAAGTGGATGATTCAAACACGGGACTTTAATAAACTGATTATCGTAAAAGACTCTATAAAGGGTAAGATTGCCCATAAAAAATATATTTATCAAAACTCAGTAACCATCTGTCGCCATGGTTTCGTCAAAAATTCTCCCTATGTGTTTCATCTTCTTATGGGGTTTTGATTCATCTGTTCTCATTGATTCCACAACTCGCAATTTTTTTCGCTGAGCCATCGACATAACATTGTTTTTGTCGAACAACTTCTAGCTTACGGTCAATACGAACCAATTTGTATCTTTCAGAGGGAGACTTGTCTTCTACCTAACTCCAATTGTTGATTTCCACCCACTATACTCTTTCCTGTAAGGTTTCCATCATGGTATAATTGAATTACTCTCTCACCCACTAGTTAGTTCCCTGAGACCTATGTCACTTACTGAGCGTGTAGATCTTAAAGATACATTCACAGAGTGGTCGTTGGTTTTTTCTAATCAACTCACATCTCATAATGGTGTAACCTTCTGTTATATCCCCCGGTGAATTACGAATGGTAACTTTTAGGTCTATTTATGGATCAATGTAATATGCCTATTTCCTATTGTACAATTATTACGTAACTGAACTATTCATATTCGTATGTCTCTTATCATTAGCTTTATTTTGACCTTGACTTAGTATTATACGATTCTTGAGTTATAATCAGTTTATTGATTACTTTGGTTTGTATAAAAACCCAGTATGTTTTAAATACAACGATTCATACCACTGAGGCTGTTATTGGTGTTTTGGACTTAACTGGCTGGGCTAGGCAGATCGCAGGACCGGTTAGCACTCTAGTCTGCTCGTACGGGTTTCGTGTCACTGTTCCAACCGATAATCCGCTGCTCCTTGTTTGGCGGTTTTATCGAACCACACATCAACTAGGCATCCACTCGCCCACAAGTTATAACACCTTCGAAAATGTTTTCACAATACTATGTAATATTTGAAAGCAAACCTTTTTGAAAGGATATGCACTTCTGCCATATTACCCCATATTATCAAGTCCTGATTTTTCAAAATTATTTCGGTGATGTTTAGTGCGGCAACTGGTGAGGCCGTCTAGGAACATAAAGTGCATTGTCTTTTGTCTTTTTACGTTAAAAGTGGTGCCAAATAGGAATAAAACCATAACAGATTCATAAAAGGATAATAAATTTAGCTAATTAAATGAGGTGATTCGAAATTAAGTGTCATATAACCTCGAATCTCCCAATACGCTTCTCACAATAACGAGTTTTTCCAAACCCCTGTCCTAGTATTCTTCTAGCCATTGAAAAACTCTAAGCTGGTAGCGAAATTTCAAAGAATTTGATAGAGCTTGCTCCTGCTACCGGTACGCAGACCTGTCAAGAACAAAAGTCACGCTTGTAAAAAAATTAATTAACAGAAGTATTAAGCTTGTTACAGATAAAGAAGACCAACAAGTTGAATTGAATAATTTGTCTACACTAAGGGATAACATATACCCAAAGGAGTTTTTAAGGAAGATTTTTAGAAATGCAAGAAAAACTAAACTGGAATGCATAAAAAAAGATAGGAAGTCCCCATGGTCATCCCACACCATAGTGAAGCATCGTAAGAAGTCAAGCGAACTCTATACGAGCATGATATAAGAGGGTATTTTCGGACGTGTGACACTATAAGGTCGTCATTGTCGAAAGTGAAGGGTAGGTTACCAAAGGAAGAACAACAAAATATTGTCTATGAGATCAATTGTCATGATTATAATGCAGCTTATGTCAGAGAAACATTCAGACAATTGAATATAAGGTGGAAGGGACACAAACAGTGTTTGAAAAATGTTCTAAAAACCTCGGTTGACACAAGGAAATTCGAGAATAGGTCTGCGATAGCGTTACAAGAGTTAGAAACAGGACGCAGGATTAATTTTGATGGAACCAAAATATTTCAGAAACGTTTTAACACTCATTAAGACGGATTGACAGCAGAAGTGCTGTGTATATATGGGCGAATAAGAGCAGGCTAAACAGAAAGGATGGTATTCAGCTAGCAACTACTTTGCAGATATTCGTTAACAAGTAATTATACCCTCTCTTACTTTATTCAACCTGTTTATTTCACATGAATTGTTATTTCGACTGGAATTAATATGAGTAATTTTCAGCATTGCAATTATTCACTTGATGATTCTCATTTTTACTTGCAATTCAATGATTCAGAAACAATTTTTCAACCTTCCATTTCCACTTTTAGTTTTACTCCATAGAAAAACGTATCAACATCGAATATCATTCATTAACAACTCATTCTTACACATACATACAAAATTTATTCAGTCTTTTATTTCACATCGTGAAATTTTCACATGATTCCGACTTAACTGACTCATACTATCCTATTTGCTAAATTCAACATACAAATATGATTGGTTTAACCTTAGTATAGATTTTGATATGTTTGTTGAAAGACGCCACATAATTCTATGACGATTTTGATTTTGATTATTACCCTGAGGATGTCCAGATAAGTAAGTAAGGATTTTTCGATGCCATTATTTGTCAATTAATTACATATTACGGTATCTGGCTCTTTCTGAGCTTCTCAGAGCTTCCTCAAGTTCGCCCGTGGGCCGTTCCCATAGTCTGCATTCAAGTTCTTGGAAGTATGTAATAGATCGTCGAGTAATTTTCATTTCTACCCTAGATATTGCATTTGCAGCACAATTTAATTCACACTTGATATCACATATATAACTGAATGACTATGATGTAGAGTCAAGGCGAGGAACCTCTAATGTATATCATACATCACGTCTGCTGCTCTCAGAATCCGTCTTTGTCAGCCAAAAATGCATTGTTTTTTAACTTGTCCCTTGAGAATATAACCGGCTGCGAAAAATTGGTTACATCACCCATTTTTTGTCTGCAACAACCACCATTAAAGCTTGTGTGGAATGAAACCTGAATATTTGATTTAAGATGGCAGGATTAGTTTGTTGTTGATTTCTCGAATAGTATTTATACCACTAGAAGTCAGGCAAGAATATTTTGGTTATCCTCTAAGGTTATACTTAGCGGATCCTATTTACTGTGCACAGTCGGATTTAAATGAACAGTAAAAATGGTTGTAGAACCTTGTACTACTGTTGGCGAAATCTGTAGAGAATATGGCTAGATAACTTGACTTTGTTGTCCTGCTGCGTAACTATAGGGCTCCCTGAAAGTCGAGTTGTGTTTCATAGTGTCAATGGAAAATTCATATATCTTCAGGAAGCCTATACTGATCATTTTCACGTCTAAGTTTGATACAATAAACACTTAGAGGCATAGTCCCTTAAACTTCAAATCTACTCCTATACTTTCTTGTTCAGATCTTTTGACTTTTGTTTTGTTGTCATGCTGAAGTGTAGCCGAGAAGCAACTATGGTTCAAACTCACCATAAATTCCTAGCATTCGTATCCTCTGTTCGACCAAGGAACTCAACGACCAAAAATTAGGGAGGCAGTGATGAAGTCAATAAAACATTACAGTGGATAGTTGCCGACGGAAGGCAGTTGTTAGTGATTGAGCGGAAAGATGAATTTATAATGGACAGTTAATTTTCTCTTGCTTATACAAGTAGGTAGATTATAAACAAGTGTGCGTACGTTTTGCCTTGTGGCTCTACTTACGAGTGGTCAATATTTTAACAGACATATTACACGGCAACATTTACATGCTACTAATGCTTGTTAAAGAACCACGATAGCCGATTATAATAGCGATCAATTGGTTAGTTCTATCGACTGAAGTAATTATTCAGGTTTAAATACTAATCAGCATTGATATGAAGAAATTAATGTTCACAGCAATCGATTAACATAGGCAATGTTGAAAATGAAGAAGATTAAGTATAATATCTAATAATAAAGATTATAACGATAGGTTGCGTTATTCGAAGTCTTGCACACCAGTGTGGATTACCCACGTAATTTCCTAACCACTAGACTGCAGCGGCATTTCAGTGGCCCCACAGTTCATTCCAGAATTCCTGTCCGCAATGTTTGGTCATTTCTCCTCAGTTGTAAGGATTTGTGAGACAGTTATTCATCTACCTATTTTCATGGTATCTGTTTAGACCCGGGGCACGATTGACTGTACCTAGTTGATCTGATACCGAACTTATGGAAGTATAAGCAAAGTCGTACAGAGTACTTGAACTGAAGAGCTATACTTTGTAAGTGAAAACTTTTTGAATAGGAATATCTGATCCTTTTCCTTTTATCTGCATGCGGCTGAAAAAGAGTTTGTATGCATCTTTTGGCGCTCGTGATGTTTTCAGCTATAACTAAGTATCTCAAAGACTTCGCACTTATTGTTCGATACATTATGAGCTGTCTGATCAGGAGACCTGTTACTTTATATATAGACCTCTAGCTACACGATTAAGTGACGAGCAAAAGCAAAAGATCAAAAACGCGTTGCATGCATTAAAAACATTATTACAACAAAAACAGATCAAATACTACAAGTGATATTCTCACACTACTGATAGTTTGGAAAATCTACTTACACAAGACTGAGGTAACTAATTAGTTTACACCATTTGATGACGAAATAGCACCATATTGGCATGTAATACACGAGCGCGCGCTTTAAATACTTCGGCTTAGTTGGTCTTTGCGACATGTCGGGAGGTAGCAGTGTGCCTGATTCGGCGTTCACTGGTTGGAAATACTATTTTAATTCTTACACCTTGAAAGGCCGTTTTAATGTGAGTTGCATATTAATTCGAAAGTAAAAATGATGTGGAATTGTTTAAGAAAATACTTTTTATCAATTAGGCGTAAAGTATACATTTCAGCAACATGACGTAAAGTAGAAATGCATTATATCACGACGGCAATTGACAAATGAGATTCTTGACGTGTTTTCTTCATTTCTTTATTTTCTCACGGAATGTCCCCTTTATTTTCCTATTTTTCGGTTGCTTGCGGTGGACATAGTTTTGTCTCCCAACCAATAGCTTATCCGAGTGTATCTTAATGAACAAGCCTGTGAAAAGTGTCATTTAAGTGTAGAGTACTACATTAGTGCAGTTTATCGATTATCACAAAGGTTTCAGTTAATTTGGTTACAACAGTGAAATGCTAATATTTGTCACTTAATCAAAACAACATTTGTTTCCATCAATACTTTTATAGGACTAGCTCATCTACAAAGCCGGGGGTATCGTACCCAAATTTAAGCCCAAGGAATCAATAATGATGGAATAAATCCTGTTCATGTCTTGTGAGAACTAGTTAATGTCATGTTATATTTATTTGCAGATAGTAATGGCCAATTATGCAATACTGTTCGCGGGCATCGCAATTTGGCGAATGAGGTCAAAAAAGAAAAAAGCCCTAGAAAAAGATGGGACCTGATGATATTTTGGAGTAGAATAGAAGGCTTCCATAAATTAGCATTCGTGTAACCAGTTGCGTCTTGTACTACCGAAATAGAAAATTTTTAGAAATACAATTGGTGTTCTCTATGATTCAAGGACTGATCTTTTTACTGTTTTTACGAGCTTGCATACCATCTGTTGATTCATTCATTTAGTTGGTTGCAACAGCTGCCTCGTGCTTCAACAAACCATTCACCCGTGATTAATTCTGGCAGTTTCATGTTGAAACAAAAGCTAGTTATACCACTAAAATGTGCTTCATACTTGTTTTCGAAAATACCCATTTTCCAGGAGTTACTGGATATGGCAATCGGTATCAATACTTGCCTCTGTTTGTTTGTTGTAACGGAAGATTTTGTGGGCAAGCTAGGATAGATACTAATTACAAGGCATCCGCAACGATCAAATGACTCTTAGTTTGGACCACAGTGTTGTTTATTTATTTAAACACATATATATTGGTACAAAAGGGCACCAGATACATACGCGCCACACAAAATAATGAAAGTAGGAAGAGATGGGATGAAAAGATAAGACGAACTGAAATGTGCAACCAGAAGACTCAGTTAAGAAAGTTAGAACCACTCTTTATGTAGAAAGTAAAAGAAGGTTACAGCATGTTCGCCACTGGCTTCTATTCTGAGCCATATCTGATAATGTCTCCAGCCACTGTGTTGCACCATCTCTCGGACCCCAGCCAGGGAGTCGTGAAGGACCAACAGAAGCTAGCCCTTTGCAGCTTTCTTTCATGCCACGACACCATGTCATACACTGACCTCCTCTCCGCTTTTTCCAACCAGTCCCAGAGTCGGCAAATAATGCACGACGTGGAAGTCTCTGGGACGACATTCGTAGAACATGTCCAAGCCACCGAAGTCGGTGTTTCAAGATGGTGACACCAATTGAATTATCGTCTCTGCGCCCGAACACACGATGCCGAACCTCTGCATTACTAACATGGTGTTGCCACTGTATGTCAGCAATCCTTCGGAGACAACGATGATCGAACACAGAGAGTCGTCTGACATCCTCAACTCGGAGAGGCCAGGTTTCACAAGCATAGAGCAAAACTGCTCTCACCGACGCGTTGTAGATCCGACCTTTTACAGTCAGACTAACATCACGAAGGCGCCAAAGATGGCTCAGATTTGCATAAGCCACTCTGGCATTCATTATACGTGCATCAATCTCATCACTCACACCACCACCAGCATTCATGTAGTTACCTAGATACACGAACTTCTCAACTATTTCAATCTGCTCACCATCTAGGGTGAGTACAGGATGAGAATCCTGCCAGTCTTGTAAGAGTACTTTGCACTTGGAGGGTGCAAAGCACATGCCGTACCTGCAGACACTGATTGCCAACTGATTAAGTGCGGATTGCATGCCTTGGGCATTATCGCACAGTAAGACAATATCACCCGCATATTCGAGGTCGAGAAGTCATTCTTCAGGCAACATATCCACACCGCCATTACTTACATCCATCACAGCTGTTTCCAGGATGTCGTCGATAGCAAAGTTGAAGAGGAATGGTGAGATCGGGCAACCCTGCCTAACTCCACTGCTCGAATGTAACAAGGGAGAAAGGTGGTTGTATGCCCTCACTCTGCCTGAGGTGTTCGTATACAGGGCCTTTAAGATGTTAATGAACTTCTCAGGCACACCCTTCTTCAATAGACAATCCCAGAGAACAGTCCTGTCCAACGAATCGAAGGCAGCCCTGATATCAAGAAACACTACGATTGTTGGCCTGCGATAAGTATGACGGTGTTCTAACATTTGGCGGAGGGTGAAGATGTGATCAATGCATCCTCAACCAGAACGAAAACCGGCCTGCTCCTCACGAGTCAATCGTTCTCGGGTTTTAAACAACCTACGAAGAATGATAGAAGCCAATAGTTTAGACGCAATCGGAAGTAGACTTATCCCCCGATAGTTGTTACAGGAACAACGTGAACCCCTTTTTAAAGATAGGGACGACTATCGACTCATTCCATGATGTTGGAACACTTTCTTGCTCCCAAACATTCGCAAACAACACCATCAGTTCCTTAGCCAGAAAGTCACCATCAACTTTAAAAATAGCCGGAGGTAAGTCATCTGGGCCCGGTGATTTGTAGCGCTTCAAAAGTTGGAGTTCCTTGCGGACTTCCGCCTCGTTTGGTGGATCAGTCGTCACCGGCCATGGGGGCAGGACAAACTGGTTGATGTTGCCGGAGCAGCAGGACAGTTGAACTGCCCTTCGAAAAATTCCGCCCATCGTCCAAGACGTCTAGAGATGTTAGTGATTGGCATCCCGTCATCCTGGTAGATTGTTTCACTCACACCAGACTTCTTGCTGCCAGTGGCTCGAATGAGTTGGAAGAGCTTCCGGCAGTTACCAGATGCAGCTGCTGCTTCCATCTCATTAGCACGCTCCGACCACCAGGCTTCCCGGTCCTTACGCAAGCTTTGCCCGATTTCACTACGTAACAGCCTTCGTTTGTGGTCAAACTCACGGTCACCCGGAGTAGACCGACGGGCTTCGATCAGTTGTAAGGAGCCAGAAGAAACCCAGTGCTTGTAAGCGGGACGTTTCGCGAAGCCGCAAGCGGCTTTACTCGCCATTTTCATGGCGTCGTGAAGATGCAACCAATGCTCATCTATACTTTTCGGTGGGATGGTAGCTAGCCTAGAAGCTAGCTCCGCTCGATACTTACTTGCAACAGAAGTAAGTAAGGTGAGATTTGCACAGACCAGGGCATGATCAGACTCCAGATAGGTACTCCAAAAGGAGCGGCAGTCTTGTACACAACCACGCCAGCGGTAGCTGATCGCGATGTGATCAATCTGAGTCCAGGCTTGAGATGCAGAGGGAGGACGCCAGGTCGCACACCGGCGATGACTGTGCCGGAAGTTAGTGCTAGCCAGAAACAAGTTGTGGTCTGTGCACAGTTGCAGCAAACGGTCCCCGTTATCTGTCCTGCGACCAACAAGTCCCCATCGGCCACCTAAACGACTCTCTTCTGTGCCTAGACGCCCGACCTGAGCATTCAAGTCTCCGGCTAATACTACGATATCCGTCGAACGCGCTTTCTGGAGAACTGTTAACTGACGGTAAAACTCATCCTTGATTGCATCCGGGCTGCAATCTGTCGGGGCATAGGCGGAGATGACGAAAAGACACCGTTTCTCACGCCGGATTCTTCTCATTTTAATGGAACTTTCTAATCTAACAGCACATAACCGACTGTTAATGGGGATCCAATTGATTAGTGCTGCCTCAGCCCTAGCGCTTAGTGCAACACCAACGCCTGCATGACCAGACGAAGATGCCACAGAGTCCCCGGATAAGCGCACGTGAAACAAGCTTTTCGAAGCGACAGATGGAGAGCGAATTTGTAGTACTTCACTAGAGTCTTGAATACGGGTCTCGAATAGACAGCAAACATCAACATTAAGACTTTCTAAAGACATAGCCAGCCCCATCTGTTGTCCGATCTGCATTAGTGTGCAAACGTTGAAGGAAGCCAGCTTGAACGGCGTACGTGGTTTCAGAAAGACTGCTTCAGTATTCGTAATCGGTGGAGGCATTCACTTTCAACCAGACAGTGACTGGAGATCGTTTAGATAGGACAGAGTTTCCACCATGGGCGAACTCCTGCATAAGTTGGAAAGGAAGGATACACAATTTGGGAATAAATAGAGTGAAAAAGTGACGTAGTAAATAATAGTAATAATAATAATGTAAATTGTATTTCTTCTATTAGGAACGAGAGCAGTGTAGTTAGTGTAGTGAGTCATTTGTGTGTGGGCTGTGATACTGCCCGGGTGCCCAAATCGAAGCATTGATAAGTACTGTCTCTGAATAGTGGTAGGAAGGTTTAGAAAGAACAAGACTTCTTAAGAAATTTAGTAAAATCCTTTTTATGTCACCGCATAAATAAAAATGGCAGACGCTGTCATTGGTAAAGCTAGGAAGGCAACAGAATTTTATGGTTGGACTATTCGAACAATGGATGGATGTTCGCATCTGTGAGTGAGTCTCACTTAGTGTATGGATGTACTGTGACGATAGAATTCTAAGGAGCGCCCAAAAGTAATATAATCGGTTTAATATAATAACTGTTCGCTCCAACATTCGATTATATATTGACCACTTGGTTTCCTGCCGACTACCTCTAGTCACCAAATGCCAGAAAACAGTGTACGCAACTTCGAGTCACTAAGACTAGTGGCCACATTGCAACACAGTCAACAGAATTTGATCAGCATTAAAAGGACAAAACGAACATGATATTGCCAATCACTCACTGTCGACTGCGTAAAATTTTTATTAGTCTTGTGTATAATCGACGGCTCTGATGGTACCAGCTAAAAATGGGCGAAATGTACGTCAGTACATTTTATGGGGATTTATTCACTTCCAGACATGTTACGTGAAAATCACATTGGCTAGCTATTTTATACCATATTTAAAGACCGCTGGAGCCAATCCATCTGGACCAGCTGCTATTCCTCGTTTCAGATTAGTTATAGCCTTTTGAACTTCAGCTAGAGTTGGGGGACCTACTTCAATGTTCCATTCAGACTGTCTGGGAATAGTGGGTAGTTGTGCAGTAGCTGAAATCCAGCTGAACTGCTCCTTAAAGTGTTCTGCCCATCGCTCTGAACGTCTGGGCTGAGAGCAGATAAGGGTTCCGTCTTTTTCCGAGATTGTTTCACTTACACTTGACTTATTAATTCCGGTTTCTTTTATTAGTCTGAAGAGTTGCCTACAGTCGCTACCTTTTCCATCTCTTTTGCTTTCGTTGCCCACCACTGCTCACGATCGTTCCTTAGACTTTTAGGCAACATTTCGCGGATGGATTCGCGTAAATTCATCCCATCAGGCTCTGATCACGACGAAGAGCGTAAATAAATCAGATCTATGTTGACCAAAAGTCTAAGGAACGATCGTGAGCAGTGGTGGGCAACGAAAGCAAAAGAGATGGAAAAGGTAGCGACTGTAGGCAACTCTTCAGACTAATAAAAGAAACCGGAATTAATAAGTCAAGTGTAAGTGAAACAATCTCGGAAAAAGACGGAACCCTTATCTGCTCTCAGCCCAGACGTTCAGAGCGATGGGCAGAACACTTTAAGGAGCAGTTCAGCTGGATTTCAGCTACTGCACAACTACCCACTATTCCCAGA